GTAGGGCCGGGTTGGAAGATGTCATTTCTGGTATTTCACCGGTGAGACTCGGAACACCTAATGGAATACGTGCATTCGAATCCGCAGGGGGGTTCATAGGCTGATCTTGTTTCTATACTGTTTGCACTATAGGTACTTGTTTCAGAGGGCTTCGTGGACAATGGGCGTCAGCTTGAGTACACTTCAAAAAACTCAGGGGATGGATCATGCAATACACATCAATACAGGACATCATATTTCCCATGATCCATGGTGCTGCCATATATGGTAACATGGATCCCATCAATATATCCCCAGTCATGTTAGCATTAATATACCAGCACCATGGATCCGTCATGGGTTTTGTCAGAGCTCCAAGTAGCTCCACCCAGCCCGAGGTGGCCATTTTCGACTGCCAGGATGTGCCAAAGGCGCGGCTGCATGACGACAGGGGGGTTTCAACCATGATACCAGTACGACCAATCGTTGATTGAAGAGAAATCATGGGTTTGGACGGATGTCAACAGCTTCTTGATATCTCAGGCGATGATGTTAGATGATGTTAGATGCCTTTTGGAATGAAACTGGAGATTTAGACAAGGTTCTTCAGGTGATAGGCCTTGCTTCCTAGAAAATCGAGCTCAGGAAGTGCCCCGGAGTGTGGGCTGCCAACGGTTTGCAGGAAATTCCCACATCCCTGAGCCAGCTGTGGCCTGGATGGTGGGTTGTTGGTGTAGTAAAAATGTCTGAAAACGCGAAAACTACGCTCATGTCATTGCCAGTTGAATTAGCAATATGATGATAAACACCATGGGATTCTATCGGATTTTTTTTGGTAACGGGTAGCCTATTTTCAGACACTAGATACCCTGTCTTGAGATGACGGCTCATGGCAAATGGACATGATCATGATGTTGCAAGGGACTTGATTGATTCTTTTCGAAGTATATAATATGTCGAAATATTGTGATTGGGTCTTCAAAATTAAGAGCTTGGATGTGACTCGGTGGATGTCCATAACCGAGGATCATTTTAAAGTTCACCCCCCTTCCAAAGTGCTGGGAGAGGTGCTGAAGCCGCTGGAACAGAAGACCTGTTCCCCGACGGCAAGTTACATGAAAACTCACTGGATGGGTACCTGTCGACCTTCAAAGATAGGGTTTACTCACCATTGGCCGAAATGGCAAGAATGCGTCAAAACTGGTTGTTGGCCAGTTCTGAAGTGAAGAGGAACCTACAAGACCCACAGCAGATTTTATATGACCTATGTTGAAAAGGTTGATCATACAATACACATATACCATCATATACCCAAATTGGAGGATGGCCATCAAACATCATCAAGTCTTTTGTTTTTAATAGGGATTGATGTACCCGTGATATACCCATGATATTTGGATTCCCATGGCATGGAATTGATGACACCACATGTATCACACGATGTACCTCGGCCATGGCGCAGCCATTTCAGGGATCCCTGGCCTGAGAAGTGGAGCACCAAGGATGATTTTCCAGCTTGGAACCTGAGCTTGTCTGATTTTTGTTGATCCTTTCTCGGAAATCACCGTCTAATTCCATACAGTATCAAAGTTCAAAAGCCTGGGACCCGCTGAAGCTGTTTGAGACGGTGCCTCCTGTCCATTTCCACTCAGGCAGGGAATTTGCAAACGTTTTGGACGCTGGTTGCAGTTGAGGGTTTTGCTGATTTTTGGGCAGTCTGTTCGGAGGACAGTAAGGATGGATTTGGGCTGGTGGTGGGGTGGTGCTCGCTGGAGGGGTCGAGAGCCTTCCCTTTGCGCTTGGTGATTTCGACGCTGGAGACTCAGCAATTCAGATGTGAAACACGGAAGAAACAGGACAGATCAAGATCAGCGCCCAAGTTGTACATTTCCGACTGACCATTGAAAGGAAAGACTTTGACGGTCGAAAACTCTGAATCCAACATGTTGGAGTAGAGACAATGTGCGATCTTCTTGGTACGGTATAGTGTTTGTTTTTATTCCATAACCATGCTTCGCAGATGCACGTGTCCTGCAATGTCCAGCATCAGGGGTTGAAAAAGACAAGCACAAGCTACAGAGCCGAGATGCACGTCCTGGCCTTTCGATATTGATCAAGAAACAGCATTGAACAAAGACATAGAGGACTTTTTACTGTGGATAAACATGGATAAACTTAAACCATATACTGGTGCAGGGTTTCTTCCATGCACAGTAGTATTTGCTGAGAAAATACTCTGCGCCATGAAGAAATCTGGGCCGGTGAACAGCTTGGCACGAGAGTTAATTTTGAGATGTCTGGCTTTTCAGCCGATTTTGACGCATGAAGGAACGCAAAAAGTGTGACAGATGTGACAAGCACCCCAAACTTGGCATCTTCAACCTTCAGGCAGTTTTACATCAATGATGTAAACCAAGAGACCTTCACACCTTTGTGTTTTAACTTTGGTTGTGACATGTGTCTGAAAATGGTGGAGGCACCACCAAATAGCCATTTATATAAATAAGGCAAATTGTGATTATATTATATTACTATATTAATGATTATATATATGCGATTATATAACCAGTAGATTTGGGCATACCCTAAGGCCCTAGTTTCGCCCCGAGATGTAAGATTCTTCGGAGCTGAGCAGGTCAGGACTGGGATCTCACCTGCCTGATCTGTGAAGCATTGGAAAAAAGAGGTTCTGCAGCCCTGGTGAAACGCAGCGGGGATGGGATAGGAACCCGATGGGATAACTTTGGACCTTGGAACATACGCCAAAAACCAACGATGTTACCAGATGTGAAGCTCGGATCAAGAAGCCCTTGGATTTGTATGGATTTGTTGCATTGGATTGTGAATACAAGTTGTGAATCATTGAGGATACCATGGGGCCATGGGGTATCATTTTAGTGGCAGACTTAGCAGACCATAGCAGACTCTCACATCTTCCGTTTTTTTTTCTCCCAAGTCAACCTGTTTCGCCAAGGCGAACTCGCGGGCGCAAGAAACGCGAGAATGATGCCTGAGACACCGTGAAAACGACGTTTGAAACGATGTTTGTGGTTGATTTACGTCAAAGAATTATGGTGCAACTGTGACTCTTGAGTAATCCGGTGAGTCATTGAGCCACGCAAACCTGATGCTGTTTGGCACCTCTATTTGGAGGGGGTTCAAGCTGCGCATTACTAAGGGAGGTGAAAGGATAGGAAACGGAACGCTCATCAATGGATTGATTTCAGAGATTTTTTTACGAAAAAACTTGTCTTTTTGCCATGAAATGCCGGAGGTTCCTGTTGAATTTTCTGTTGAGTTCAGGTTTTACTTGCAGCTTGATTTTTTTCAAGGACACTGGTATCAAGAATCCAAAATTCAAGAAAAATAAAGGCCAGACAAACACACCGAAGAGTGCTCAGATTGCAGAGGGACTATAGAAACGCACAGATGTTTTCTGGAAACCTGAATTTGGTATTTGCAAGCTGAACCTAGCCGGTTGCCCTGCACTGCAAACTCAGACTGGAATCTCGAATTTAATGTAGGCATGACCTTTTACAGAAGAAAACAGACACTGTGATACCAAGTATCCTGCCTAGCTGCTTGAAACGTTTGTTTGGACATTTTTGCTGGAACAGGTGAGCTGAAAAGCGGAAAGTAATCCAACAGACAGCAGCCTGACATGCGCGCGCTGTGGCTGCCATTTCATGGATCGATGGAGTTGCTTGCCTTGGCAGTGAGGATGCGGACTAGTCCTGAGAGACTGAGAGACTACCCGGCTACCCATACATCGATATTTATATATATATATACTAAGCTGTATGTATATAGCAGTCGCACTAGGCACAGATTGTTGGCCAACCCTCCATTGTGCTGTTGGTGATGATATTTTTTACCTCGAGGGGTGAAGTACCAGTAGCTACCCGCTGGTGAGGTCGGTGATGGATACCTGAACACAGGCACATGGGGCCGCTTGGGGCTGCAGATTCCCCCTGAATGCGAGCTGCTTCAAGGAGGAACACCAGAGGACCATGGTTACGGTTGAACATGGAAGATTAACCTTTGGGAACAACAGTTGGTCAATGCTGTTAAGACATGTTAAGACCTGTTAATCATTTTTTTTAAATAATATAAATATGATTGCCAAAGCTAGTCAACAGGATAGTAACTCGGATAGTATAAGATAAAGGAATCACATAGTTAAAGTATCACATAGAGTATCACAGTTGGTTGCTATTATATGTTGTTGTCATTGTCATTGCACGATCATCCTGCGGGAGCGAGGGATGAGATTGCTATGGAACTCCTCCGCGCTCATGACTGGACTTCAAAGTTTTATCATTCTATATTAAGTATACTACCATCATTGTTATTATATGTTATTATTACCGCAGGTTTTCATGACGAACAGCCGATCGGTGATCTCTAGCGAGTTGGTCAGCAGGAGTTGATGGGAAACCAACTTCCGGTGAAGTCCGGAGCTCGGGATGTGGGTCTTTGGATTTGGTGAAATATTCAGAAAAGTATAGCAGTTCTCGAAACGAAGCCATTTATACATACGCGAGTATTTAGTTTTGTATTTTGTATGTTCCCAATATTTTTTCTGATCCTGATGATGATGTTCACCGATTGAGTAGCAAACCATCCCAATTTTTGGGTGGTCATTTCAGACAGTACGCCCAATTAAAATTGACCCATTGAACATCTATGCCTTGCAGCCTTGGCTCCCACACACACACAACATGGCAAGCGAAGCATCTTGGAGATCAGGTTGGTTGGCTCAACGCCACACATGTTCAATGGTTTTCAGATAGCAAACTTTTTAAGACCATGGTTATTAGGGCAAACAAACCTTAGAAGGAGTCCAGAGATTCCTCTAACTTGGGACTCCCCGAAGCCGGAAGATTGGCGGGCCATTTGAATTCATCAGATGGTGCCAACCGATGTCCAATCATGCCCCCTAGAAATCATCTCAGAAACCCAGTCTCAGTGGCTGGTGAGCAAAACCGCAGTGCGATGCAGCGACGCCTTTGGGGCTTGCAATGAACCAGGCTCCACAAGATGGACCCTTGACGCAGGGATGAGGACAGGATAGGGTGCACAGGAATCAGGTCATCCCAACCTTCCTCTTCGCAAACAAATTGAGTTGAACATCCCATTCCGTTCTGGGCAATACAGTAGGTCACTACTTCTGAGACTTAAAGATGTTGGGCGCATAATCCAGTTTTGTCCAAAAGCAGATACCCTAAAATGGCAATTTGGAATAGGTCAAATCATGATCATAGGATTTTTGGGTGCCCTATTCTCAGAGAAATCCGTATTTTTAACTTTCTTTTAGCATATCATACATATATTACTGGTTGGTGGTTTGGAACATCTTCTATGTTCCATGATATATGGGATAATCCTTCCCATTGACTTTCATATTTTTCAAGATGCTTGTTTTTACCACCAACCAGATTATAGATATATCACCTATAAACCATAGTTATTGATAGATATATCACCCATAAACCATAGTTTCAGAGGGGTTGAAACCACAAACCAGATATACATATTTACTAATACATACACTCCAACCCAACGCTTGGATCAGATTCTGCCGAGCTGATCGTTGCCCGCCCAAGGCTACAACCAAGACCCGTTGCCCTTTGAGGACGCGGCCATGACTCAAAGCCACCATGACTGCCAAAATCAACGACCAACTAATTGGTCTTTCCAGGAAATAGCATAAGGAAAACGGTTGATATATTGGGTAAGATATTGGGTACTATATACGGATATGTTTTAAATAATACTGATATAGATATTTTGTATGGACAACTCCAATATATTGGGGTGGCTGTCCCAGCGGGCAGGGACCTTGTGCAGGACTGGGTGACGCATGTGAACACCGCAAAGAGGTGAGGTCGCAGTGCAGTGTCGAACAAGTTCTCGAGAGATCATGAAAAGCAGTGTTCATGACTATTAAATTGTGCATTACTGATAGGATGTAGTAAGTATGTATATGTAACATTATGTAACACACACGCACATAATGTGTATATATATTTATATATACATATACATTATATATACATGTATATATCAGTGATTATCCATTCTGCGTCATATGCATTCACCACATAAAGTGTGGCCCTCCCGCAGCATCCATTCCTTGCCATTGAGACTGGCGGTGATTTGAAGGACAGCCAGAAATAACCAATGCTACAAGGCAACCAAAATAAAGAGACCCCCCAAACTAGGGCAGGTGACCATTCCTGAGAAAAGCGTTAAAAAAACCAATACAGTACCAAGCGCATTCCACATAACCGTTCCTTTTTTTGTGTAGGTTGAAAATGGGGTACCCCATTCCACTGTTTAATCATCGCAATCATTCGCAATCCCTATTGAAACAGCCAAATTTGGGTGTATGTCCCAGTTTTCACGCACACCCACAATATCAATTCAGGCATCTTTGTATAAATCGGTTATTTTTTCTGTGATCTTCAAGTAACCTCACCCAGCTTTGGATCTGCAGGAAGATACGCAGCGAGTTGTCTTTGGAAGACTGGCAACTTGGCTGAGGATGTTTGAAACCGGTCACCTTGCAGAGTGTCGGGTAGTCACAAGAGGTCACATCCCAAAGTTGCAAAGTCTCCGTATTTCAGAGACTTTCCCAAACTTTCAGCATATTTCCTCTGTTGGTTCCATGTTTTTTTCTTCAAACATCATTTTGGCCCAACCTAAAGCATCCCAAAAAAAACACAATGTTTTTATCCATGTTTTTCAGCCCGAGATTGTCCGGTGCTTCCATCCCAGTGAGGCAGAAATACGGCTTCGGCCGGCGCCGCGCTCACGAGTTCGAGGCCTTGGCCTTCGCGGCGGACACGGCGGTGCCGCGGGAGAAGCATGGGGAACTCAGCGTAGAGGAGCGGTTGCAAAGGAAGGGTCCGCATCGGATGGTAGGGCTGATTTTTCCACCTCAGATGGGGCTAAGGTTTCTTCCAAAAGTTCAAGGTTTCCAGAAATACTAACATCACAATTGAGGGAAATGCGCCATGCTGAACACCACAACTGTAAATACCCAATAGAAAGTGATGCATTTTGATCTATTTGGTTCCACCGTTGGCACCGGAAGTGCCATTAAAACTCAGGAGTTTTGGGAGAAGTACGAGAAACCAGGTGACTCCTGCGGGTGGTATATCTGGAAATTGGCCGGGTTCGGCCAAAAAATGGAGAGGGCCAAATCACTGGGTTCCCTAATTACTTGTACTACAATTTTGCTCAGTTTTAAGGAAATTTACACAACCCCTTGGCACCATATGGATTTGGGAGCACTTTATTGCCTTGAACTCTGCTGGGAAGGGAATCCTCCACCTGTGACCGGCCACGGCGAAGCAGGCAGGCCTTGTCTTATCTATGGAGTGCCACAGGAGGAAGGTTGGGCCTGTGAGAAACTTGGCAGCGGAACTTCAGCAGTTGGTTGGGTGCAAGTTTATTCACATATATCATGGTTTTCAAATGTGTTCAATGATGTGTTGTAGAGGTTTGGACATGCCAAGTTAATGATCGCAACCAGGGTAAGAACATGTTTGCCAAATAACACACCTCCAACCCCTCCAATGAACAGATGTCATGCACGTGTCATACACCTTACAAGTAGTGGCGATTGGTACATGGACCGCATAATTTTGCCACAGCTCTGACAATTGGCTTCGGTGGTTTCACATCCTTTGTGTTTTCAATATGTTTCAATCCCATATAATCCCATATAATAATCCATATATTAGTGGGATGATAATCCCATATAATCCATAGAATTTTGGGATAATCCATGAAGCTTCCCCACTGACCAATATTCGTGGCCTTGAAACCATCAACTATTCGCAGGGTGGGCTGAAACGAGCCATCGAATCATTGGGTGATTTGGCGTCCTTCTCAGCCAAGGAGATGGAGATGGGATGACTTCTTCAAGAGGCGAGTGGATCCCGCATGGGGCCGCGGGATGGGATAGATTAGAGGTGTTGGACAATTTTCAGTCTCAGTATTGGTATACGATACTGTACAGAATCCCATCATATCCAATCATAGGATCATGGTTTGCCCATCACTTTGACCAGCTAACCTCACTTCACTTCCAAATCTCGGCTCCCGGAAGGTTTGGTCAGTCACACTTCAAAGTTGGGAAGGACGACCATGGCCAAACTGTGCGCCTCAGAGCTGACTACTTCGAGCAGTACACCAGGACGACGCTTGGCGCAGGGGCAATATATAACCATAGTTCATCCCATAATATCCCATATATAAATGGGGATATGTATTCTATATATTTCTATATAAAACTGGGGGTATAATCCATTTTCATCCATTTTCTAAGTGGGATGCACCCCCAAGTAGGGAAATAGGACAGAAGATGTGGAGAATGTCGGGTTGACGCAATTGATCACGTGCAATTCATTGCAATTTTCAAAACGGAAGCAGATCAAGATTGACCTGAACATCGGACAAACTTTGACATGTGTGATGCCATGCTGTCAACTGTCAGGGATCAGTTGCTCATCTCTGACCTTCAATACATCCTGATCTTAAATAACTGCATGACATCATTCGCCAAATCCATAAGCAATTGGTCCAGGTTCGTTTGTTGAGCGTATTCAGACAGAGCTTCAAATTATTCAGCCTCGAATCATGTGATGCCAGAGATTCACGCTGGTGATCGGTCATACTTTGAGGCAGCAAGATGACAGCCCTGTCTACTTGTTCGACAACCACTTCAGACACGAAAAAAAAGTGCCTTGCAATGTCGATGGACGTGTGGCGGATGGCGGATGAAGCAACCCAAACTGTGCAACCCGATATACATTTCAGACCTTGACTTCTTTCTGAGGAAAAACAATTGCCTGACAGAAAAAGTTTATGAAACTCTACTCCACGACCTGAGGCCCCAAGCATCCACTTGTTTCTCCATTAACCAGTTGCAAAGTCAGGTTAGGGATTCCGCCAGTGACCCCATCCCACGCCACTGAGGCCATTCTACAGGATTACCACGTCCCGTACCATGGCCTGGGCGGATGGGGATCCACCGGGTTTCAAGCAGAAATTATGGTTGTTGGATGTTGTTGGTTAATGTATGACAGTGTACGTAGGTATTTAGCATTATTTAGCCGGTCACGAAGTGAGTCACGAAGCAGCATCCTTCAAGTCTAGCGGTGAAACATCCCGATTGTGGCTGGTTTCAGATTGTGGCCAGCCTGCTTTCGCTAATAGTAGTTTCGTAATCGATATTGATATTGATATTGATATATATATATATAGATGGATGCACCCTTCAAAATGGCTCGAAAGGGTAAAACCACTCCGGTGTTGAAATTTCAACTCCAAACCCAAAATCGATCAATTTTCGGTTTGGTGTTAAAATTTCAAATATCATGGTTTGCCAGGTATACATAATATATACATATATATATATATACATGATAGGTCTGCAATAGTATTGGTGAAGATTGGGGATGTAAAATTTCATGAACCATGCTAGGCCTATGCTAGGCCTATGCTGTGATCTCATGTTTTTGTGGCCCTCAGGTCCTACTTCCCGGACGACTACATGTCATTCTGTGAAGATGATCGACCCCCCTATCGCTGGGTGGGTGTGGGACCACGACGCAGCGGCACCATCATGCACCAGGCGCGGGGGTTTAGGAACTTGGAGAACTTCACCACGTGTAGAAAGGAATGGTCATGATGATATTTATGTTATTTGTTTTATACTTATACCGTAAATAGATGTAAATAGTTTCTCCACTGTATTTTCGTTCATCTTTTTTGTTCATTTTATATACTGTAGATGTTCTATTCTATATTCTAGTTATTTCTGCAATTTGCTAGATATACATAATATGAAAACGTTTTTTTAAATTGGCAATCTCTGTTTTTGCCGAATGCGTAGCAAGGGTTCCCGTTTCACTCTGGGGGTCTGGGGGCTGAGGGTGTGTTCGCTCGACGTTGCTTTTACGTTCGCAACCGTTCGCAACCGTTCGCAACCGTCCGCGCGATTGCTATATGGCCGTGCCTATGGTATGTTCTGCAGAAGGGGTGCTTTTTGGAGGTTTCAAACGTCTCGTTGCTTCGTTTCGCGTGGCAGGCGTGGCACTTTGTGACATTCAGATGTGTTTTGTAACGTGTCGAAAGTCGTTTTGTGTGGCAGGCGCAATACTTTTGCGACGTTTTCCGAAGATGTGTTGCAGTTTTCGTGGCAGGCGCAACACTTTGGACGTTCATTTTGAATGGCAGGCACAGCACTTTAGACGTGTCGTGTTGCGTGTTTTTTGGGATTCGCAATGGCAGGGCTGCGTCAAGTGGCGACAAGGTGCAGATTCCGTGCCAAGCGTGGCATTTTGTGATGTGTGATGAAAATTGACGGAAGCCTCGCACGAAACATCGATTTTGAGGTAGCAAATTTAGAGGTTCCTCAGAAAACTCGTAGGAAAACGTCGATTTTGAGGCTACAAAGTGTCAAAATTGGAGGAAGTCTCGCACGAAATGCTCATTTTGCTGCTCCCACGTGTCTCGTCTCGAGTCTCTGGTTTTCCTGTGGCATCGCCGTGTCTATGGGGGAAGTTGCAAAACCTCTCCTTTTCGAAGGTTTCCAAGCAGGTTGTCATGTCGTTTTGCGTGGCAGGCGTGGCACTTTGTGACATTCCAACCTGTTTGATAACGTGTCGAAAGTGTCAAACTTAGCGGAAGTCTCGCACGAAATGCTCGTTTTGCTGCTCCCACGTGTCTCGTCTCGAGTGTCTGGTTTTCCTGTGGCGTCGCCGTGTCTATGAGGGAAGCTCCACACTCCACACTCTACACTTTACACTCCACACTCCACAATTTACACTTTAGACTCCTCACTCCACACTTTACACACTCTACACTCCCCACTTTACACTCCACACTCCTTACTTCACACTACACTTTAGACTCCACACTCCACACTCTACACTCCACACTCTACACTTTCCACTCCACACTGCAGACTGGCAACAGGGGAAATATGTACAAGACTGTTCAAATAAACTATTGCAGAAAAGTGTTCTGCGTGACTGCACATCCATGTGTTTCGACATTTGTACCATTAACATACGTGTGAGCATTCCAGGTGTTGCATTCCACATTACACTTTTGAGACTGAATGTCTCACATGTGCACTTTGGGTTGTGGAGGTTTCACTTTATTGTTGCAGTGCTGTGCAAGCACGGCGTTATGTATGAGGTTGTGTGCAGATGTTGCTGTTCATTGATGTTTGAGGGTTGCTGTTCTGTTGCTGATCTATGTATTTTTGTCATGCTTTGGAAAACATTTCGGCTGTGCTCAGTTGCAAGAGGCCGCCACGCATCGAAAGTTCATGACAGTAACACTTGCAGATTTCGCATGCACCGGAGTGTTGCTGATTCAGGCATGAGGTTTGTAGAGATAGTGCAAGACAGCGATGTTCAAAGGGTTGCTGAGATGTTATTGTTGTCTATTTTCAGCAAAGTTGGCAAGATGTTGGCCGGGCTCAGCTCACACAGACTTCGCACACAGTGTTTCCAGCATGTCGTGTGTAGGGCTGTTGCTGGTGGTGTTTTAGCGTTTATTTTTTGTCACCACATTGGTTCGGCTATTTGATGACAGAGCACACGCACGCACTCGAGTCATGTTGTTGAAGGCAAATTTGTGTAGAGATGTGGTTGTTTTCAGACATGTGATGGATGTGTCTTTCCAGAGCACACGCACAACTCGCACGCACTCGAATCATGTTGTTCAAGGCAAATGTGTGTAGAGATGTGATTGTTTTCAGACATGTGATGGATGTGTCTTTCTCTTTTTCCCTAATGTGTAGCAAGGGTTCCCGTTTCACTCTGGGGGTCTGGGGGCTGAGGGTGTGTTCGCTCGACGTTGCGTTTACGTTCGCAACCGTTCGCAACCGTCCGCAATAACCGTCTGCAACTGTCCACGCGATTGCTATATGGCCGTGCCTATGGTAAGTTCTGCTGGCACTTCGTGACATTCAGATGTGTTTTGTAACGTGTCGAAAGTCGTTTCGTGTGGCAGGCGCAATACTTTTGCGACGTTTGCCGAAGATGTGTTGCAGTTTTCGTGGCAGGCGCAACACTTTGGACGTGTCCATCGTTATTTTGAATGGCAGGCACAGCACTTTAGACGTGTCGTGTTGCGTGTTTTTTGGGATTCGCAATGGCAGGGCTGCGTCCAGTGGCGACAAAGTGCAGATTCCGTGGCAGGCGTGGCATTTTGTGAGATGTGATGAAAATTGACGGAAGCCTCGCACGAAACATCGATTTTGAGGCTACAAAGTGTCAAAATTGGAGGAAGTCTCGCACGAAATGCTCATTTTGCTGCTCCCACGTGTCTCGTCTCGAGTCTCTGGTTTTCCTGTGGCATCGCCGTGTCTATGGGGGAAGTTGCAAAACCTCTCCTTTTCGAAGGTTTCCAAGCAGGTTGTCATGTCGTTTTGCGTGGCAGGCGTGGCACTTTGTGACATTCCAACCTGTTTGATAACGTGTCGAAAGTGTCAAACTTAGCGGAAGTCTCGCACGAAATGCTCGTTTTGCTGCTCCCACGTGTCTCGTCTCGAGTGTTTTGTTTTCCTGTGGCGTCGCCGTGTCTCTGAGGGAAGCTCCGCACTCCACACTCTACACTTTACACTCCACACTCCACAATTTACACTTTAGACTCCTCACTCCACACTTTACACACTCTACACTCCCCACTTTACACTCCACACTCCTTACTTTACACTACACTTTACACTCCACACTCCACACTCTACACTTTCCACTCCACACTGCAGACTGGTAACAGGGGAAATATGTACAAGACTGTTCAAATAAACTATTGCAGAAAAGTGTTCTGCGTGACTGCATATCCATGTGTTTCGACATCTGTACCATTAACATACGTGTGAGCATTCGGGTTCGTGGGCTGCATCTTGTTTTTTTTCATGTCCCTCCATAGACTTCACCACGGCCAGGATCCTCTCTGCACCAGTGCCTGGAACACGCTCCTGCTGGGTCGCAAGCTCTGGTTGCTGCTGGCACCGGACGCCCCAAAGAGAGCCACTCAGCCGCACAAACCCGGGACGTTTCCTGCGAAGTAAGCAATCATCTTGGAGATTAAGCTTGCTGATCCATAATATTGGGATCGGCCACCATACTATTCATCCAAAGTATCGATGATTCCTGGTGTTTTTGGTTTGAGAATCCATTGAGACGAGGTTGCCAAGGGGAAAGATGTGATGCAGCCGGAGGATGACGACGAAGCGTGTCCCATGGCATGGGTCCCATGGTGTTTTTTTCCCCACCTGCCAGGTGAGGGTTGTTAGATTTTATGTCAGTTGCCTCCTCCTCCTCCTTCTCCTCCTTCTCCTCCTCCTCCTCCTCTCCTCCTCCTCCTCGTCCTCCTCGTCGTCCTCGTCGTCCTCGTCGTCCTCGTCGTCCTTGCTCAACTGCGACCCGCGATCCACAGTGTTCTCTGCCGGGCCTCAACCACGACCATCCACGCCCAGTGTTCCCTGCCGGACCTCAACCACGACCATCCACGCCCAATGTTCCCTGCCGGACCTCAACCACGACCATCCTCGCCCAGTGTTCCCTGCCGGACCTCAACCACGACCATCCATCCCTGCCTGACCTCAACCACGACCATCCTCGTTCCCTGCCGGACCTCAACCACGACCATCCACGCCCAGTGTTCCCTGCCGGACCTCAACCGCGAGTATCCACGCCAAGTGTTCCCTGCCGGACCTCATGTAGGAAGATATGTTAGAATGTCAGAAGATATGCCAGAAGATACGCCAGAAGATATGCCAGATAGAATGCCAGATAATATGCCAGAAGATATGCCAGATAGAATGCCAGATAGAATGCCAGAAGATATGCCAGAAATCTGCCAGAAGATATGCCAGATAGAATGCCAGAAGATATGTCAGATAGAATGCCAGAAGATATGCCAGATAGAATGAATGCCAGAAGATATGCCAGATATGCCAGAAGATATTCCAGATAGAATGCCAGAAGATATGTCAGATAGAATGCCAGAAGATATGCCAGATAGAATGCCAGAAGATTTGCCAGATAGAATGCCAGAAGATATGCCAGATAGAGATAGCCAGAAGATATGCCAATAGAATGTCAAATAGAATGTCAGAAGATATGTCAGATAGAATGCCAGAAGATATGCCAGATGCAAATAGAATGTCAGAAGATATGTCAGATAGAATGCCAGAAGATTTGCCAGTAAGAAAATGTATAAATGTCATGGTGGGGATCACACGAAGTAAAGTAATTTGTGTAAATGAATATCCACCAGCCACTGGCTGGGGAGGTTAGTGGCAGTTCCTCAGAGGACAACTACACGCAGGGAGATTTGGGAACATGGCTGTGTGACAAGCAGAACGTCATGGCTAAACCATGCACCTTTTCACCTTTTTGTACTTCTGTATACTTTTGTATGTATCTCACATTTACCCGGAAAAAATGCTGTGTTGGTACCGTGGACATCTCAAATATATAGCCTATAGCTAATAGCATCTAATAGCCATGATCATGCGTTTTCCAGGACCACTCACTTATTGGAACGAAAATGCCGCAGTGGTGGCGCAGGTAATCACTTCCTGGACCTCTTGCCACGCAAACGCGCCAGGCGGGGGAACACATGGGCGATACAAGTGATACACCCCCAGGGCACCAGTCAACGGTGCCCCCAGTCAAGGGTGCCTTTGAAAGGTAAATGAGGCCGTTGAGGTCAACGTCTTTGATTGAAAGGACTTATGGAAATTATATGAAATTATATGAAATTGTGGTTCAGAACTCTCAGAATTTAAATCCCAGAAAACCGCAGAAAACCGTCGGATTCGCCAGGCAGGATCCAGATTTTCAGCCGATCCTTTGTGACTGGGTAGCAGATTAACCTGGTTTTACCATTGGATTATCCCCAAAATTGTTGGTTTATAATGGAAAATCGATGAACATCGCATAAAAATGGATGATTTAGGGATTTTCTGTAATTTTGGACAGTGATTAATTTATATTCTCTAACAGAAACATGTACCAACTGAGATGTATCATACTATCATTCTTGGATGTCAAGTCACCGTTGATGTTTTTCTGATGTCGCCCTCGCAGATATTTCATTGAAACAATGCAGTACAATCGGTTCCATGCAATCCTGAAAGTCTCTGGCGTCAAGTAGATTCGTAATGAGTCGTAGATGAAACATACTCTCATTCGCCCTTTTAATAGGTACAATATGACAATATGATACATTAAGTACGACAATACAAACAGAATCTTGCATTTTATGTCAAAACAACCCACACACACACACCCGTTCCAGCTTTGATGGACAACTCTATACGGGTTTGCCAGAGAAATTGAGCAATTTCACATTGTTGTAAAGTAGGTATATCCTCCCAGGATGGCAATGTAATTCCCCCAACAAAAAGGGAACCACATGACTCACATGACATTTATTTTGAGATATTTTGGGTACTGTACCCGCTGGATTCTTCTGGCAATCCAACATAGCTATGGAAAATGGTCTGATTGTAGATGATTTACCAATAAACAATGATGATAATGATTGTTTTCAATAGTTATGTTGGATTACCAGAGGGTGCCACATTTTCAAGACACCTCCACATCAGTCTTTGCGCAGTTCGACTTGCGAGGTGTACAGCATCCCGGCGTTCGAGCCCCAGTGGTTTTCGTTTCTAAGAGCTCCCTGTTGGCGGTCCTTGGAATTGTTGTCCTTGGAACGCTCTCATGAGTGCAGCAGGGGGTTGTTCAACATGTCCAAGTTTGGGTGTGAGTAATTAGTTCAATCCCACAATACCATATTTTTGGGGGACATGAACATCCATTTACCAGCTATTTTCGCGTTTGACCGTTTGACCCAAAGCCATTTGGGTGAACATGTTTCAGCTTTCTCAAGATGTGGTTGGACATCTCACCGCCTTGATACCAGCGATGGACCGAACGGCATGACGTATTTCTATTCATGTTTGGGATGGAAAAGTATAGGCTACCCTGTTACCTCTAGTAATGTAGCATGATTTAGCAGCTAACCATTCAAGTCACCATCTGCAAATGTTTGGATCAAGAGCACCCATTCATACTAGTGGATTTGCGGGGAGTTTCACATGGAGTTTTCCATGGTTTGCCAGACGGTACCGGGGTGAAATTGGCTCCCCTACTTGGATGAACTGGGAAATCGTGAGTCATAAGTCTGAAGTGGTTAGTTCACCCACAAGTGGGATTTATAATGAGTGAGTCAGTCCATGGGTACTAAATATGAACGAATCAAGAAACAAGCTTAAGTTGTTATTCATATAATTAAGTTATATATATATACATATTGGATATTGAAACAAAAAAATATCAACTTGCTTCTTATCTTTCAAAAGCAAGCATTGCAATGATTCAACCCTGCTGTCCCCATCCCCTTCGCATCGCAACGCAGGAGACCATCTTTGTACCAGGCAACTGGTGGCATTGCGTGGTGAATTTGGACGACACCATTGCCGTGTCCCTCGGTTCACCAGTTGAGAGGTGGACAATCCATGGGTTTTCCGGTTCGGAATGTGATCTAATGGTGGGGTATGGTGGGGTTTTCCACATCTATGTAAACGTTACCCTAGGGTAATATGGAAAAAAACTCAGGAAAACATCAATCAACAGGAACAGGAACAACCACAAACGGTTTCTTTTTTGGTGGCATGGTTTATTCAAAACCGAAGGATATGCCATGGATATCTTTGGAGGGATGAACATTTACGCAGGGAATCGCAGCGGTAGAACTGAGGCTTGGGTCAACGTGTTAACACCTGTATTAATGTCACCTGTATGTGTAGATAGGATCTAGATAAGATGTCAATGCATTTGGATGTGTATAATATATATAAATCGAGAGAGAATGTAGGTAAAACATGCTATTTATTGGAAGTGGTGTTCCCTTTGGTAAAGTTTACACGAGCCCCCTTTGAGAAAAACCACTGTTCCCAGCTTCAAATTTCCTCAGAAAACCAATCCATTAGTCCCAATGCTTCTGAATCAGATCCCAATCTTCCATGGTGAAAAAAATACATTCCAAACTACGATGAATCATGAAATGAAATGAAATTAATTTTATGAATCATGAAAAATCTCTAAATCACATGTCTCTTCCAAACTAGGATGAATCTCTCCTATATTTTTGTTTGGTTAAATCCCAGATCTTCATTTCATCCAGGACGCAGAACTACGTGGGGCGCCACAACTTTCCGCAGGTCTGGCGCAGCTGCCGAGTGGAGAGGTGCTATCTGATAGCCCGGTGCATGGTGAATTCCTGATAGCAGCACTTTTTGCCCATGGGAAACATGGGGATTAACCGACTAACCGTTAGATCAGTGGGGGCTTTACCATGATTTCATGGGATTTCACCAATTTTTACATGGAGATTTCATTGGATAAATCGGATAAATAAAAAGCAACAGATTCATGGTTTCAGCAATCTGTGATGAAAAACCAAGAAGATGATGGAATTCAGCCAACCACGGAGATGGGGACATCAGGGAGATGGGAGCCACAACTGGAGGACTGTACTATAGGGGTTAGTTGATGAGTGAGATTTATTTTTTTACCTAAAAACGGAGGACATATGAAAGTTGAGTGAGATAAGTGAAACTTATCTTACTTTCACTTTCAGTCATAGCTGCTCCAATAACTTGGATTTACATGATTCTACTGGGATAATCCAAGCTTTATTTTAAACCAGAAGCTGCATTGATTACAAGACAGCGCATATCTAAGATGAACTATGGGCATTGGCCGCAGGAAACAAAACACTGATGCCCTTCTGTTCGCACCAAAATCCTGTAGCTGGTAGTTCTGGATGTTCATTTCCAAAAAGATGGCATATAATGATGGTATATACATCATGTGTAATAAATCGATGTCATCTATAATGCGTTCCATACCCATATACCCTCTAGGATTTCAGCACAGCTATGGGACATGACTGATCTACTTCGATGATTTACCTGTAAAGACCGGTGATTTTTCATCGCAAAGTGTCAAATTATCAGAGAGTAAGCATCATTTCTTATGAAGCAAGAAAAAAACGTGTCATGGGTTCAAACTTCCATAGCCATGTTTGCTTCACTGATTGGTGATTTCAGATATTTACTGTTTTCAAGCAGACGTGGGATGACTGGTTGATTTTACACATTTTTTAGGATAGCTTAAAACCAACTATATAGGTCATTTCTGAATTTCTTATCAATCCGAAAAAAGAACATGTGTCATCGAAACTTCCGTGGCATACTTTCGCATCATATATGGCGGTGTCCACAGTCATGGTGGTACCCAGTGGTACCCAGAGCTGGATGGTTAGTGGAAAATCCTATTCACATGGATGACAAATGGGGTACCCCATGTATGAAAACCTCCTTGTTGAAGGCCCTGTTGGTCTCATCGCTGGCTGCGGTGCATGGAAGCCAAATGCCCAGACCTAGCTGCCTGGGCCAAGCGCTTGAACGTGGAGGAGCCCGGGGGGGCCGATATAGGCCAATGGGGAGGGGAAAAAACCCGGCAGTTTGGTGATCAAACTGATCAAATTACCTGGAAATTATTCTAATTATAGTGTTATTATATTCACCACTGTATATAGATATCTAGAAAATACTACTTCTAATATATTCTAATACATATATGTTCTAAATAGTTTCTCACTGGTATTTGCCTATCTATTCTACGATTGGAATCTCAGATTGATCGAGTTTAATCCAATCTGATCTATCTTTCTATCCGTCCATTCATTAATTGCTGTACAGGTGATTTATCTATGGAAAAGAATGTGCTTTTTTGCATTAAATCGGGAAGACAGAGTAAGTCTTCAACCTTCGACCTTCAACCCCTTAATTTTTGCTCTCCCTTGGCATGGAAGCTTGACACTAGGACGGATTCGACATGAATGAGCTTCGCCAGAAAAATCGTTCCTGGGCAGAAGGGATATCAGCAAAAGGGATGAAAGATGATGAAAGGAGGGATCAAAGCAGCAAAGGAGTCAGGAGTTTGAGGATATTTGAGCATCTAGATTTTGGAGGTTCAATCATTTTTTTTGCCCTTTGCATCTTTCTTGGCCATTTCGGTTTTGTTTCCCAGTCATCCCAGCAACCCCAGATGCACCACCTGAGCTGCGGCTAGGGATGCGATTGTTGCAGCACCGCCGGCGGCGAGCCTTGAATGCCTTGAAGCGGGCCAAGCAGCGCAGTGCTGCCAAAGGGCTGGAGCTGGACGAACAGGCCATGGCGGCCATGACTGGGGATGCTTTATTTATCCCAACCACAAAAATGGTGATAATGATTAATGGATATTAATGGTGGCGGTTTGACACATGGGTGATTTTGGCACTTTGCTGGAAATTTGGTGTCATTAATTCGTCAAATGGATTCCAATGGCCCATTTGTTGATGTTGAACGACGATCGTGGCACAGGCTTTCCTGGTGCAGTGGCAAGATTCCCAGGTGCGAGGGGGGTTTCGCGCCCAAATCCTTTGGTTGATCGGTTGATCAGCATTTCCCTATTGAAACGTCACTTTGGCTGGGTATATGATGCCATATTGATGCCATATGCTCCAATGTTTGGACCCAAATCCATCCAAATCCCCAAAAAATAGCATCATTCATCCCAAAAAAAAATCCCAACCATATGGGATCCATGAATGGATCCCCAACCATGAATCATAATGGTATAATGGGGACCCAATATCCCAACCATATCCCCATAGCTCCATTCAAGCCCGATCTCCCCCATCCCCGTTTCGGCAAGGAGGCGATCAATTCGGATTCCACGGCCAGCACCACGAGCTCCGATTCCAGTGATCTGGCAACCGGACAGGGACCCTGGATGGTATCCAGTAGCTGAACTAATGGATGTTTATTCATGTTTATTCCCCCTATTTTATACTATTTTGTTTCCCCAAATTTATCATCTAATATCTACTAATTAATAGGTTTTGACCCATCCCCATTTCTCTGAAAAAATGAGGGACATCTCCAGGAATTTTGATTTGGGAGTTTCTTTTTGGAAAATGGGCTGAGATGATCTGAAATGACCTGCAACATTGGGGATTTCCGGGATTCCCGCAGAATTCGTCTGACAGGAATTGGGGTATTTGCATGTATTTGCATCATATCGATTTCCACAACATGAGATGGTTACCCTCTGGTAATTTAACATAGCTATTGAACATGGCCATTTATAGTGAGTTTTCCCATTAAAAATGGTGATTTTCCATAGTTATGTTAGTTTACCAGAGGGTAAACTTGAAACACGTGTGAGAGTGATTGGATATTGAGATGATCCTGACGATCCTCCAACTCAGCCTGGTTCCCAGTCGCTACACAGCCAGGTGAAACCTCCGCCTCATCATAATTGAAACGAAGCTGCTTGGAGGAAATGGAGGGAACTGGTCAAACCTTTGGTAAAGGATGGTAAAGGGTATATATACGTAGTATATGGTTTAACTAGCTATAGTTTTTCAGGGAACTGGGAAAAGATTGGTGAAGGCCAGTGAAAGGGTTGATTGTTATTCTTACAGACATTTATAGACATTTGTAACATTTTGTAACGTAGACTTAATTATAGATTGGTGTGTGTGTGTGTGTGGAACATCTGAAAAGATGTAAAACTTCTATTGGATGATTTCGGTTTGCTGCTCAATTTATTTGATTTCACATGATTTGCGGTTAGGTTTTCTTCTCTTCTGGCCGGTTTTGTTTCATTTACACAGCAGGGGGACGTGGCATACAATCAGGGACCACGTCCAACGAAGCTGCCTGATCAGCTCTGCGTACCTGCTCCAATTTTCCACTGTCTATGGCGACCGGCTAAGCCAAGTACCGGCATGTCGTTTTCCAACTTTTTTCAAACAAAACAGCTGTACGGTTTTCGCAATCTGACTGAGCTGCATCAGAACCATAAATCCTTCGAGCAAGGACGTAGAAAGATTTCCTTCGCACAGTTTCTCACTTCTAATCATTCACTCTTTCCTGTCAGGTTTAACTGAAGTGTTTTTGCACGTGCGATGCATTCCACATCAGTAATTAATTCGATAAGATATTTCTGAGCAAGTGTGTGTGTGTAGTATGTGTAGTGTGTGTAGAATAAAAATAAATATATAATAATGATGATGATGATGGTGATGATGATGATGATGATTATGATAATAATAATTTAATGATAATGATAATAATACTAATACCCAGCTGAACATGCTTCTCTTGGGTGGCTGAGTTTAGCCATGCTCTTCCCTCAGGTGCTGAGTGCCGCCGCCGTGACGTTTCACAGCCGGCAGGTGCTGAGTAGACCGGGTGCGACTCTGTGCCTATGATCCCAGAGGGCGCCAAAAAGACCGAGGGACTGGAGGCAGCATGCCACTGTCAACATACCCGGTTACCCTCTTGTCAACTAACAGGTTGCGAACTGGGAAATCACCATTTTTGGTAAATCATCTGTAAATGGGCAAAAAAATCCATAGCTATGTGAAATCACAGGAGGGTAAACCACCTTCCTGGAACTGGGTCTGCCGGGACTTTGGACCCTCTGAGGTGTGTCACAGCATGCAATCCGTCATGCTGTGCCAACTGCATCAATCTCCAGATGGGGAGGCCCGGCCCTAACTGCGAAGCCCAATTAACTGCCAGGATCCTGGTTGAAATCTGGTGAAGCTTCGCGATGAAGTCAAGACATACCAGTGTGGATGGAAGAGAACCTGACCATTATGTTATATTGAGATATATTGATAATATCCAATGGTTATCATGATTCTTGTTATTGTATCAATGATACCAACAAGGTCATCGTCATCGTCATCATCATCATCATCTTCATCAGAAACACAGTCACCAATTCTCAAAAAATGAAACACCGGAGTCGGCTTGCAGGGAGGAAGCAGACGGCGACAACAAGCCGCATTCTCAGTCCTTCGCTCGTTTGAAACTGTGGATGAAAGTCAGCCCGGGGGTGCTTGGCTATTGGAAAATCCCATGGTATCCCCTGGTTGATATCCATTTCTACATATTTTTTGTTAAGATTGGGGACTATTGAGGTTTTCACTTGGACATGTTTGTTTCCTGCAGGGTAAGTTTCATCTGGTTGGTGGCTTCGAACTGGAAATCTCGTCCTGTGACTGCCCCAGGGGCAATGCCTTTGCAAACGCTTCTGCAGTGTTGTCGTCGGAGGGCCAGGAGAGGTTGTGGGCCTGCAGAAGTGACAGCTTGGCCAGACCTGATTGGTGGGTACCGCCAATTGCTAAGACCCAATTCAACCATCAGGACGTTGTTTTCCAAGCATGAATGTGATCCTATGTAGAACAGCACAAGCAAATGAACAAACTAAAGCTGGCATGCGACAATGTCAGTGCATTTCAAAAGACACCATCTGTCAATCACAACTCTTGATTCTTGATTTGTTTTGGACAATTTCATTGCGGTGGTATGTGTTGTATTTAAGTAATATTTTCTAATTATTTTGTATGTTTTATAATGATAGTCATTGTTGTTCTGAAAGTTTGAATCCTTTCCAGACCATCAGAGCTGCCTGCCACATCTCCCTCGGGAGATCCAGGAATTCGCCGCGCATTTCAACTTGGAAAAAGAGTTGGCAAATGAGGCGCTGGTCAGTAGTTTTTTGGATCTGAAATGATGGGAGTTCAGCTGTCATATATATATATAATATAATTAGATACACAAATGATAATTATAGATATTCATAGGGGCTTTAATCACTTTAATCATCACACATATGGGAATCTTATTGATGAATGGTGGTTCGTCCATCATTATAGGTGCTTATAATTAATATCTGGTTTGGTTTTTCCTTGGGGGGTGACCCATGGTCAGCTATTCTACAGCGTTTTGGAGCGGATGACGATGCAATGCGAAGGCCCTCAAACCCTCAAACTTGAGCATCAACAAAAGGTTTTCGAGCATAAGATTAGGATATGGGTCTGTCTGAAAATAGGGTATACCTTCCAAGTGGCCATTGAATATAGGGAAAATGATCATTAACCAATGGATTTAGAGGTACCGTAGACAAACCGCAGAACCAGATGCCTTGCCCTTGCCATCGGTCGTGGAATCTGTGTGGATCGCAGCTATTGGGATCGCTATACATCTGGATAGCAATCCACGAGCCATGGCTCATGTATGCTCATTGTATTTGCTGACTGGTGTGAAGATGTTCAAATATGTTTATATATTGTTTATATGCATTTATGTTCTACTATTTTCTCTTACCCATTGGATCGTGATCCAAAAGTACTCTTATGTTGGGAATGAAGTGGTCGTGTCAGGTCGTGTTTTCCTTCGGAAAATCCACCAACTCATTGCCCTCGGGTCCATCATTGGGATGGATCAGAATCCAATTCTCAGCGTCAACGGTGGATTGATACACCCAATTGGGCTGTTTATCTCTCGGAGTACCAATTGAAGATATTTAAACATCATATCATATATTATCACTATTTGGAGGGTACCCCCATAATTAATAAACCATGGTTTATGAATCCGGAGTTGAACTCAAAAACCTACTGACCTACTGTTTCCATGCTCATCGACGTTCCACGGCGCAAGGTGGAATTGTGGCGTTCCAGCTCTGTACTGCCATCAGAGGCAGATGTTTTGCCAACAGAAAAGGGTGGATGACCTGGTGGCATCTTGGCTCCCCAAAACAGCACAAAACAACTCGAAAAAGCAAGCGATGAAAAGCGATTTTTTGCCTTTCTATTGTTCTATCGTTTCTTTAGAATCATTGTGCAGACATTAAATGTGCCGTCTCACTATGAGCGCAGGCTGCTCGAGCTCGAGATCAGTCAAGTCCAGCACGAGGTGCTTCGTCAAACGCAATCATAATAATCATAAACCATCCCAGTAACCATCCCAGAAATCATAAACTTTATAAACCTCAATTGGAGATTGTTTATTCAGTTTATTCATGGGTTTAGCTGCTTAGCTCATTGTGGTTCGAAACTCTGGCACTCGGGGATTTGGAGAGCAGAATTACCAGAGGTTTTGACCATAATGTCACCCTGACAATGGGATACAATGGGAATATTAGGAAGCTGCTGTGCAGCTAAAACGCGTCAGCGTTTCAGCATATAAGACATGTGAAGACATAGGCAAACAAATATCGAGTGTGGTGACAATTTACGTGTACATCATGTACCATTTCATCCTTTTTCACGCCTGGCGCTTGCTCCCTCTGCTCTTGGGTAAGTGGGTTTCTGGTCTTACCCAGAATTACCTGTGACAGACAGAATCAGGGCACGTCAGATCAGAAAATTCCCCGTTCGTGAAAATGGATGTCCATTCCAAGTGATATCAAAAAACCGTGTGAGTTCCATAGAGTTCCTAGCGTATATATTGACAATTATTGACATATATTTACATAATTGTATAATTTGTAAAACGCTACGCTACATATATATATAATATATATATATATATCATACATATATATATATATCTATACTGTATATGTGATTCTATCTCAGTATCTTTGGCTATGTATCTAATCTAATATAATCTAAAATAAACTAAGCTAATCTAATCTAATCTAATATCATCAGATCTATTTGTCTATCCCTATCTATATCCGTATCTATATCTATGTCTCTATATATAATATACGACACGCTATATCACACTATCTGGGTCCATCTTGGGTGAAACTCCAGGAAGACCCGACTTTCGCAGCGATGGCTTGGCGGGCGCCATGAGGCACCGCGTCCCGGCGCGTGGCGTGCCGTGCTGTGGAAAAATGGCAGGGATCCCAAAGTTTTCATGGAAAAATCCATGGTTTTTCCATGGAAAAAACCATGATCTCCAACAATTTTCCAATGATTTTCTAATGATTTCCCATGATTTATTGAAGTAGGATATATGACTTGATCCAAAAATGTGCGGGTTTTACCTGGAATCATGGCCCATGGCCGTTCCAATCGCGAAAATGATGATTAGCCACGAGATATTTTTGGGGTGTTTGCATCATATTTTCCAACAACCCCACACGATTTAGGCATGAAACATCAGACAATTGAATTGTAGCTTTCTGAAAACTCTCCGGGTCTAAAAGCCATAAAATCCGTGGGAAAAATGCTCTTCCCATCTGGAAGTCTCGAAAGGTAGCGGTGAGCTACCTGAGTTCCCCCTTGCGTAGCAAGTATTAGGGGGCGAGCGGTGCAAGTGCAAGAGTTTGGGCCGGTTATGTCTCGGTCCGCCTTTCAAGGGGGGGGGGGGCCCCCCCCCTTCGATTCCCCCCAGGTCCGCCTCTAAAGCCGGGTTTGCAACATAGGCGGACTACAAGGAAACGCCAACAGCCGCACATGCACTTTCATCCACCACGTTTACATACATCCCCACCCCAACCGAAGTCAAGACCCGCACTGAAACTCGACAATGTCAGATTGCTCAAGAACTTTGTTTCGTTCACCCTAACAACCGCGATGAACAATGTCGTAGCAAGAACGTTGCGACGGACTGCGTTGCAGTAGTCTCAAAAATCGTACATGATATACCAGTAGTACCGCACAAGGCGGTGGCGGAAGTTTCAAAAATAGGAAACCTATACGAAAGATTGGTTGTTGTGAATCAGAGATGGCAGAGCGAAGCCACTGCTGGACTGAAAGGCGATTGATCTCTCTCACTCTTGTCTACCTGTCTATCTATCTATCTATCTATCTATCTATCTATCTATCTATCTATCTATCATATCTATCATATCTATCTATCTATCTATCTATCCATCTATCCATCTATCCATCTATCCATCTATCCATCTATCCATCTATCCATCTATCCATCTATCCATCTATCCATCTATCCATCTATTTCTCCCTCTATCTATCCATCTATTTCTCCCTCTATCTATCTATCTATCGATCTATCGATCTATCGATCTATCGATCTATCGATCTATCGATCTATCGATCTATCGATCTATCGATCTATCTATCTATCTCTCTATCCTCTCTATCCTATCTATCCTATCTATCCTATCTATCCTATCTATCCTATCTATCCTATCTATCCTATCTATCCTATCTATCCTATCTATCCTATCTATCCTATCTATCCTATCTAATCTATCTATCCTATCTATCCTATCTATCCTATCTATCCTATCTATCCTATCTATCCTATCTATCCTATCTATCATATCTATCATATCTATCATATCTATCATATCTATCATATCTATCCTATCTATCCTATCTATCCTATCTATCCTATCTATCCTATCTATCCTATCTATCCTATCTATCTATCTATCTATCTATCTATCATATCTATCATATCTATCTTATCTATCATATCTATCTATCTATCTATCCATCCATCCATCCATCTATCTATCTATCTATCTATTTATCTATCTATCTATCTATCTATCTATCTTATCTATCTATCTGTCTACCTGTCTACCTGTCTATCTTTTGTGCAGTGTCATTCAGTGTAATGTAGTGTAGTGTAATGTAGTGTAATGTAGTGGAGTGTAGTTGTAGTTGTAGGTGGTAGTGGAGTGTAGTGTAGAGTAGTGTCGTGAAGTGTAGCGGCAGGTAGTGTAGTGTAATGTAGTGTAGTGTAGTGGAGTCTAGTGTAGTGTAATGTAGTGTAGTGTAAGGTAGTGTAGTGTAAGGTAGTGTAGTGTAGTGGAGTGTAGTTGTGTAGTTTTAGTTGTAGTGTTGTGGAGTGTAGTGTAGTGTAAGGTAGTGTAGTGTAGTTTAATGTTGTGTAGTGGAGGGTAGTGGAGTGTAGTTGGGTAGGTGTAGTTGTATTTGTAGTGTAGTGGAGTGTAGTGTAGTGTAATGTAGTGAAGTGTAGTGTAGAGAGTGTAGTGCAGTGTAATTTAGTGTAGTGGACTGTAGTTGTGTAGTTGTAGTTGTAACCTGTAGTGTTGTGAAGTGTAGTGTAATGTAATGTAGTGTAGTGCAGCAAAGTGTAGTGTCATGTAGTGTAGTCGAGTTAAGCGAAGCAACATCTGAACCGCCAAAAGTGGTCCGAAACCCTAGTGTTTTTAACATGTTAACTTCCAAATCTGCTTCGCGCCACAACGGCGTGCACTTTTTCGAAACTCGACATCTCAGCCTCCAAAAGTGGTCCGAACATGGTGTGGTTTGTACATTTTGACTTCGAAATGTGCTTTGCGCCACAGCGGCGTGCACTTTTTCGAAACTCGACCTCTGAGCCTCCAAAAGTGGTTCGAACCCCTGGTGTTTTGCACATTTTGACTTCGAAATGTGCTTCGTGCCACAACGGCGTGCACTTTTTCGAAACTCGACCTCTGAGCCTCCAAAAGTGGTCCGAACCCCTAGTGTTTTTAACATTTTGACTTGGAAATGTGCTTCGCGCCACAACGGCGTGCACTTTTTCGACATCTTAAGTGCCAAAAGTGGTCTGCACTTGGTGTGTTTTCTACATTTTGATTTGGACATGTGCTTCGCGCCACAACGGTGTGCACTTTTTCGACATCGCAACTTCCAAAAGTGGTCAGACCCTGGTGTGTTTTGTACATTTTGACTTGGGGATGTGCTTCGCGCCACAACGGCATGCACTTTTTCGACATCTGAAGCGCCAAAAGTGGTCCGATCCTCTGGTGTTTTGTGCATTTTGACTTGGAAATGTGCTTCGCGCCACAACGGCGTGCAATTTTTCATGTCTCATCTCCCCATATGTCTCCACACCCGCCGCTTTAGCGAGCCTACTTTTCGACCCTCCGGAACCACAAATCATTGGAAAAACACAGTGAATCGCGACTTTCCTACCTTTTCGCGCATCTTCATCTTCTTTCTTCTGACTCTTTCTCTTCTGATTTTTCTCTTCTCTCTGCCTCTGCCCTGCTCTGCTTTTCATCTGTCCATATTGTCGGAAGTTTAGCTTCTCAACTTCCTTCGACAATATAGTTAAAGATATGTATCTATATATATATATACACATAATAATTCCATGATATATATATATATACTAAATAATCTCAATATACATATAGATTCATATATATATATATGCATACTCTACCCAGCAATTGTGGGATATTGCGCTTTGGCTAGTGGTTGCCGAAGCATAATCGCTGCCCCTTGCTCAGCATATCTAGATCATTTGGTGGATTTTCCGCACGGGTTCCTCCAAGATATTCTCTTCAACCAAAAGACTTCGCTAATGACATTTCAATATGTTTCATATATATGTATATTCGTATATATATAGTTATCATGTATAATAACTAGAACACCTATAATGACTAGAATTACTATAAAATAACTAGAACATAATTATCACAACTATATTGAACCCCCCCCTTCGATTCCCCCAAGGTCCGCCTCTAAAGCCGCGTTTGCAAGAAGTCACCCCGCGGGCCCACTTTTTGCACCAAGATTCCAGCACCAGGATAGCCGTAAGTCAGTTGCTTTGGGTACATGCTGGGGTCAAAACACCACGTTTGTGAATCCCACACTGTTCTATACATGTACACACCAGAATCAACCCCATCCGCGTTGCAACAATGTGCTGCCCCCAGTTACACGTTGCCTCGCAAACCCCATAACCTGATATTTATACATATATCTAACTATATGTATGTATTTATATATATATATATGTCTGTGTGTCTGTGTGTGTGTCGTGTCCCCCCTCCCTGAAACCTACCTTTTTGGTACCCGCCCTCGAGTCCAAGCCCAGAAGACTTTTTTCGATATCCGCCCCAACTCCACCCACGTCCGTCCGCAGCGGATATGCCTCGTTCCCTTGCTCTCTTCTCCTGTTCCAACCCACGCCTACCTTTCGATCTTTCACCCTTCCCTCTCAAGTCATCCAGGAAACTCCAGGGTGAGGAAACCCCGTTTGACTTCGTTTCCAGGCTGGGTGGGCAACGCTGTTTGACTCTGAAAATCCGTTATGGAAACGAGTTAGATAATTCCTATGAAAACACTTATAACATATCATGATATCATATATAATTAATTCCTATGGAAACCAAAATCTCATGATTAACCTTGGGGCATAAACTGGAAACTAACATAAATCAGTTAAAGTCTCGGGAAAGGAACAACAATCAAACATCGGCAGATGCGATCGATTTTGCAAAAAGGGCCTTGTCAAATTGTCATGGACGGAGGGAGCCACATGAAACTATTGATTTTGACATAATTTTGTGCCAGGCCAAACCATGCATTTTGGGGCGATCCACAGTTTTGTTGGTTTCAGTCCCAATGTCAGTGGGTTCAACATGGCTTGACATCGTTTCACAATGTTCAAAAATAGTCCAACATGCTTTAACAATCCACGGTTCAGTTTCCAGATTTGATTGAGAACATGTCCAGGGGGTGTATATTGGGGCTAAAACCAGGCAGTTTCCGGTAGATTCGTTCAACAAATCAATCCATTTGGAAAAATTAGAACGAGCCCACTGCGATGCTGCAATAATGGGAATTGTAAGGGTAAGTCTCAAATTTATATAACATAACAACAGATATAACTCAACATATTATAACATACATATTAAAATACTATTTAACATCTATATTAACTAGCCTTATCTCAGGTCCTTTTTTTCTCATCAATTCATCCAGATCCATTGCTAGGTCACTATCGCCACCTGCCAGAAGTCAAGTGAGTCCGGGCACCGAAGATGAGCAGTTCAAACGATGCACAATTTAGGATGTGGCTTTAAGGATGTGGATCCTGGCAATAACTATATGTTAAAGTATTATTTAGGTTGTACATATATATATATATATATGCAAATATATATATATATATTATATTATATTATATGTATATATATATATATGTGATAAATGTGGTATTTGGGCAGAGACCTTGTTGTTGTTTGGTCTGGAACTTTGGAGTTCACGATTTTTTCTTCAGCAACTACAATTCCCAGGTCTACAGCACAGACCGAGCCTCACTCCAAGGCCCGCATGTGTTCTGTTGCCTTTGAGATGTTGCTCATGAGCTGGCTGTAAGTCCAAAACAGCTGGCAAATATATATAAATCATATAAAAACATTTAAAATATAAAATCATATAACATCTAGAAATTCGAGAAATTCTAGAACGGATTTCCAGTTTGACTTTGCAGTTTTTCCATGTTTTTCCACATTTCCCACGCCGGCTCCACCGCAGGGACCTGACCGGCGCGTCGCTGTCGCCGCCCTTGTCCATGTTCTCGCCGGATCCGCAGAAGGCCACCTTCTGCGGCTCCAAAATCATCCAGAATTCGTGGAGAAACCGATTTTTTGGGGATATTTTGGTATGGCCCAATTTTAAAAAGCACTCTTAAATTGATGGTTCATGGTGCCAACTGGCGTAATATGTGGTGAAGGTGGATGGTTTTAGTAAAGGAACCCCACCCAGGCAGTAGGCTCGAGACTATCAGCGGGTGAAAATGGGGCGCGGCCTAATCGGAGATGCTGAGGTGTGGGGGTGCAGTTTAGATCATTGTAGGGGATGGTCATCCTATCACCATATTCACCAGTACTAGGAAATACAGAAGAACCAAGGGTGTCAATCAGAAGAAACGTGAAAGAGGAAGCAGCTGTTTGGACATCGTGAACATTTCTGTGCAACAGAGGGAACTTTGACATGTTGGATGACTACTATGTTTGGTCTGCCTGATGTGGTTTATGTGTGAGTAGTCATTGTTACCTTGGAAATTCGTAGAATTCAGAATGCATCCCCACTTAAAATCCATTCTTTTTAGTTGATTATTTTTTGGGTAACTTTGTTAGTTGTGTCAACCCCAATGGGAAGGAAAGAAGTGTATGGGTCAAAATGTAAAGCCTTGGGAGCCACACTTTTTGGTCATTTCGGTACTAGCAATACTGTGCCATCCCACACGTGTTGCTATATCCGCATTTTAGTTGGTAGAGACACCCCCCATTGGTTTTGACGGTCAAAGCCACACGCTTGAGGCTTGAACCATCCAACAATGGTAATGATAATCCATCCAAAATTTAGAGCAGAACAACTAACCAGTCTAGCTAAATCACACCAAAGTTGGGGAATGTTGGGGGTTTTGAAGCATCTAAAATCATCTAAACATCCAGAAACATCTGGAGTGCACTTAGCCAAATCACTACATTTTCGTTGTTTTTTTTAAAGAGAAAGCCGGCTGCCAGGCTGATGTCAACGAGCCAGTGGAGCATCCACCACCAAGTCGACAAACTGATCGGCCATCAGGAAGTGGGTCGGGATGCCCAGAAGGAACAGGACTACCAAAACTGGGATATCTACCAAAAACTGGCATTTAACCAACAAGAATGGTGGTAATATGTGGTAATACTTTTTGGATCTTTTTGGGGATACCCAGTTTTCTGGGATTTCGGGATTTAGACAACAATTTTTTGGTGGTAAAATGGGATGATTTTTACAGGGAGATAATGGAATAAAATGGAGATACTCTCCGGTGTCATCACACATGGCTAGCTGGGATATCCCCGAACTAAATGGGCATTTAAACAACGCATCCCAAGGTCCCAAGGGCCGTGGGAAGATACGCAGCGCATGAGGTTTTCCGATAGGGACCAGCAGCTGGAGGACTCCGCGTTGATAGGATCATTGTAGTGGCACCGCAAGTATGAGTTGGGCCATAAACCCGACTAACAAACACAAACTGACTATAGATATATCATGATATACGTATATATATATATATGATACAGATACATCTACTTTAAACGTCCCGAAACTCTACTTGAACTATAGGCATAAACATGTTCGCTGCAAACCCTACGTTTGCCTGTGGTCCATTCCTGCATATCCTTTGACATGCTCAAATCCCTGCATACTGTGTACGGCTAGCGTCTTTTTTAAACTCCAAACCCTAAACCACCGTGAGACACCAAACCCTAAGAACCCTAGATCCTGAAAGGCAAAAGTCAAAATCGCTGCATATAGCAAGTATTTTCATTCATCCTGTGGTGATTAATATATATATGCGCATAATTATATTACATGGGAGGGTATGAGCAGCATGGGCGAACGTGGGGGTGGGAAAATGTTGTAAACCAACTTTATGCCTTCATGGGGGATGCTATTATACAATTCCATGTCACTTTTCAGGGCTGGGGCATCCAACACTCTCCAGAATGGGTGCTGTAGATGAAAGTTCTAACCAAGACTACGTGTGCCATGGTCAAACAGGAAATCTAAAGGGGTTTATAATACCATTATATATCAACTGTTAAAGATTCCCATGGGACGGACGACCATGAACCAGACACTATATTTTGACGCTAGCACAAGGCCAGAAGGCTCCTGCTTGCAGCGGCAGGAGACCATTCCAGTCGGTGTACCTTCAGAAACACAAGGTGGGTCAGATCATTAGAGAGCGGGTGACATTCTCGGATGATAAATATGGGATATCGTATAATAAACTTACGATATATATATATACATATATGTATGGAATATATAGATATATATGGGGATAACAATATAGGATAATTAATAGGGGATAGTATGGGGACAATGAACTAATATACCCTGACATTATATCTACGAGTTTTTTTCCCTTTTTTTTTAAAAATTTTTCCCTTGCGTTCTACTGTTGGCAGTAAGCTTTTCGTATTTCGTATCGTCTACCACTACAGGACGGTCGAACGGTCGGCTCAAACTTGTAAATCAAGAATTGGTGCCACGGATCCTTTTGCAACATGAAAAGCTTTCCAAACAATATCAGAGCATGCGGCAAAATTATGGGAAAGACCGGGCAAACACAATCATATAAGACATTTGATCCGCATGTGATGTCGACAAGAGGTATCCATATTCGCTTCAATAAACCTGCAGCACTTTTGTTTTTTTTTGTTTGTGACATATTTCATGCATTCCCTCGATGTCACAAAAGCGTTGGAGTAGGTAGTTAATCAGATGATGGTCGGCAGGTCAGCAGGTTGGCAGGGGGAATCTTCTCAATATCATCCAAAATCACCTTAGTTCAGATATGTTCAGATTATTATATCATTGACAAACATATATATATACATATATATACATACACATATTATATCATATTATGAGTAATATAAGCCGCACGTAGAAGCCAGACATACACGCCATTTGCCATTTGCCTTTTTGTTGATCCCCAAAGACCCGCCTACGCCAGGCTATGATCAAGAGAAGGCAGTCTCCACTGCAACGGTGCCCTGGAGAGCTATTTGTGTAGTAGTACCTGGTACCTGGACCCCCAAACGACTGTATATTTTTTTTTGGTCATACGGCATGCCCAAATTTCGAATTCTAAGTTGCATGCAGGGGTAATCATGACACAAATATATGGTTCCAATATGTTTTTTCAATATTGTTTCAATATGTTTCAATATCTTTTCAATATTGTCCAATCTTGCAACTTTTCAATAGTTTTTTAGTATGTTTCCAATATTTATCAATATTCTTCAAACATGCCACTTGTCGTCAAATACTGCCAAACATGGGCATATGACCAAAAACAAAATCATTTCTCCAAATTCGGCAGTATTCGGTCAAATAACTGAAAAAAATGGTCATACGGTGTTCCAGGTACCTTTAGTGGAGATATATTGGAATTTGGTTGATATCAGCCACTAATTTGTGGGTGGGGTGTACCTCTGTGAATCTGGTGTCTGATGGGGTATACCCCAAAATGTTGATGCTTAACTTGTGGCTACCCCATCAGACAAGCCCATATAATTTGGTTACCAAGAAATTTCTGGTTACTGGGTAACGGTGCATACTTGGAGGATTGCTTTTTTTCGTGCGTGGCCGTGGCCGGGCCGTGGCCGTGGCCGTGTGCATACTTGGGATATCTTGGGATGATTTCTTTCATAGCTCCTACTGGAGAATCATTGCCGTGGCTTCGGCAATCATGGACCTGAATGGACACGGTAGTTCTGTGGTGGTTTTTCCAGCCATTAAAATGGCGCAAGCCAGACGATAAAAGCTGGACATAACCCACGCATACCCACGCTAGAGTGTTCATTTGCGGCCTCATCATTTGTTGAGATTTTTTGTTGGTCGAATCGGATTTTGTTTCATGTACCCTCTGGTAATTTAACATAGCTATTGAAAATCACCATTTTTCATGGGAAAATCCACTATTAATGGCCATTTTCAATAGCTATGTTAAATTACCAGAGGGTAATTTGGGTTGTTTTTGTATGTTTTCGCCCCTGAGTGCCCAACAAAGACTTCCTGGCATGCTAATGCTCTGAGGCCACTTCAGATGGCGACATGCAGTGGCAGGAGACTTTGGGCATTTATTCAATGCCTACCCAATATGCAGTTGATGCGTGTGGGTTTGTCTGAGAATAGGCTACCCGGCTACCCCCAATTTTGATGGTCAATCACCATTTTCATCCATTTTCACTCCTGGGGTGATCACATTTTCAGACACACCCTGGAACATGATCCATGAAATGTCCAAGAGTTCATGCATCAGCCAGGAGAGGCCCCTGGTCATTGACAGACAGGTGACTGTTGTGGGTGTGCCAGTGGAGGGTTCACCAAAGATTTGTCGCTGCAGCGTAGGCCGTATATTTTTAGAGTTAAGCCATGTGAAACCATCCACTGTTGACAGATTTTCGGCACCAACATGGTAATTGCCTGGTTGGTGGTTTGGAACATGAATTTTATGACTTTCCATGTATTGGGAACAATCATCCCAACTGTTACTCACTCATATTTTTCAGAGGGGTGGCTCAACCACCAACCATTTGCTCTTTTGCGTAGCCCATGTTGACCCGTTCAGAGCTGGGAGGCTCTCTCGGACGTGAGTTCAGAAGACTCCACTTTTGTGGGCTTCATTGAGGCAGGTCGCATGACTGCCACGGGATGCTTGTGGTTTCAGTGAAACCACAAGCGCCGAACCACCGTTTAAACATATGGGTTTGACCAGAAAAGCAGAGAACTCCGAAATGGATCAGAATGGTACCTTCGAAGGGGACAATCATTGAATATCATTGAATAATGTACCATATCTCTGGCAACACGAAGTCAACCTCACCAGGATATGACCACAGATGATGGCTAGTAATTAATTATTACAAACGGCCTCAAAATATCTCTCAAAAACATATACTGTATCTGACAATTCAGAGGGAAACTCCAGCCAGGTGGATCATCATTGAATGGCCTATTTTTTTCGCCCTTCACTTGCCATTTTTGGGCGTATACCGTATACCCAAGGCGTAAGGATTCCAGTGGGATGACCATGTATACCATTGGTACCATGTACTTTGACCCTAGCATACTATATGAACATAGAATTAGTACCCCAAAAAATAGAACAGTACAAAATCCCACACCAATCGGATTTGTTTTATCTAACTTTTCTGCATCTTTTTGTGGGGGGTTACTATATGTATCATCCTGTAAAATCCACTCAGGACACCACCGGAGCCGACACCTTTGTGGCCGGGTCAGAGGAGGGGTCTGCTACGGTTTGCGGTTTTTCACACCCGAAGCTGGGCACCAGAAAAAAATGATACTGGTTGGTGGTTTGGAACATGAATTTTATGACTTTCCCATCATATTGGGAACAATCATTCCAACTGACTTTATCTCCATCATTTTTCAGAGGGGTTTAGAAACCACCAACCAGGATAGATTTGGCTATTTGAAGATTGGAAAAATATTGGAGGTTCCATGATTTGGCCTGGAGAACTGTCCTTGAAGCTCTAGCTTTTTGGACTGTTCAAGGTCTTATTGGTTTGTGAGCCCCAGCCATAAAATTTCATGGGCTGTAGATCAGTTGGAAATGTGGCACCCACCATCAAGCACCATCAACAACCTTTTTCACCGGCAATTTAGTGAACCATGTCTTCTGTGTTTGGCTATAATGCTTTTCATTTTTTCTGTTGCATCAAACATTGTTCAAGTCTGTTCAAGGAATGAACAGTGAACACCAGTTTGCTTGAAGTCCAGGATCAAGCAAGTGTCCTGCAGACTTGTCCAGAACGGCCGTACGTGAAACTTATTGTGATATATCACCAGTTTTACCAGTTAAATCACCATTTTATTGGTTAAACCGTGGAACAATCCATATGGCCATAGATACTGTAGGCGCCTTTGGCAGCCAGAGATGGTGTATGTTGCTGCTTGGAGTCCCAAAGTCAACGCCTGAGTACTGTTCCCCTTTTTGGGGTTCAGCATCACTTGAAATCGAGGTAAACAAAATTTGTCAACTAGAAATTACTCTCCAGTCCGTAAAGGTAGCAATAAGATCAATAAGAACATCTCCCTTTGGCCCATTGATATCTCCAAGTTTTTAGCTGTTTTTTCTGACCAGAAGGTGATCAGAGGGTGCTACCCCCCAAGTGGTGATCCCCACACATGCGATTTGGCCGTGGATTTGATTTGCAGTACCGCATCCATTTCCATCCGACGGATGGTGAAGCGGGAGTCCGTGCACGGCTAAATCAGCAGGCTGCATTGTGGGCTTTGACGTGCGAAAAATGACCTATTTAGAGATGATTATCCCATGAGTTTCCATTAAAAGCTGGGATTCTCCATTGCAATGTTAAATTACCAGAGTTCCCAGAGGGTATCAGAATCAATGCGGATGGTTGCTTGGGGTATATATTGGTCTGTTCTCTGAAAGCTTTGAATTGCCACACTCGTGCAAGAGCAATGCATCCCTTGGACATCATGAGGCGTCATGAGGGTTTGTCCGCAAATATGGTACCACATTCCATCCAATGATTTGTCATAAAAGTTTCCTGTTCAACTAAATGTTGACATTTCAGACAAAATCATGAGGTCGTAAAGATCTTTTGAAGAATCTGTGCCCCCCAAAAATGTTTTTTTGGACGGAACATCGAAAGCAACGCCAGTGGTTTACCACTGTCGCCACATGTCGCAAGGCTGTTGGACTTGGAGGGGACCAGGCGATGATCCAAGATGTTTGATCGGATCTGCGCCAACATGATCGGATCTGCATGTTTGGTGGGAAAACTCTACTCTTGAGATGCTGGCAGATATTGGGTGACCAACTCAGTTATGATTTTTGAAGGGTGATGAATGGTCCCATTACGTATCATGATATGGGAGTAAAATACATGTTTCATCATCGGTAGTTACAACCGTCCAATTTTTGGACGCTCTAACTTTGTCCTATCCTATCCCCATAGTATATACATAGTCAGAGATCTAGTCACGATGAGCAGGGTCAGTAAAAGTAAAAGCCTGCATTCTGGAATCATCGCAAGTAGCTAATATGAAGGATTACAAAAGAGTACATTTAAATGTACCAGCAATCTTTGCATTGGAAATAAATGGAGAGATCAGCATGGAAGTTAGATCAGTGAACCTGTAAGTAGAAGATCCGCCATCGTTGAATGGTTGTCCTACAGCAAAGCCCACTTATATACTTAGTTTTGATATGAATGGCTTGGTGGTTCAATCCTCTTCATCTCCATCCCAACATATTGCAAACTGTAGAACAAATAGGACCGTAATGACTCATATGGACATTCTTGATAATATGCTGGACCCTAATGACTCTTATGGATATTATTATATATTGTCATTATTATATTATTATTATATTATTATCATCATTACTATGTATATTAGTGTTGTTTACTATCGTTACTACTAGCGCTAGCGTTAAGTCGTATCAGCTTGTAAAAGTCGTATCGGGAGGCCGTGCGCCTGGAAAAAGTTCAAGTTTGGCATCACCACAACTTTTAGTAATTGAACGATTTCTTCGTTTTGGGGCCGTGCGCCTGGAAAAAAATCAATTTTTGTATGCAACAGCTTTCGGAACTTGTATTTGATCATACATTCAATGGGGCATATGCTGCAAAGATATTGTTGATAGGTTTGTTGTTGGGAATTGGGTTCCACATTCTCTAGGCTTGGCCATGTCTATTGTTAAGAGAATGTGTACTAGATCTTCAGAGCTGGAAAGGCTAGGAAATGCTTGGGTATCCACCGCCAATCGGCTTGTGCCTCTGCACCGATATCTTTGGAACAAAAGAAAATGTTGTTTTTCAATGCACACGTGTCTGAAACGACATTGTTGGCCAATACGCTTGCTATACCGAGCCCTGTTGCAGGGAGCCCTGGGCAAATGATGTTAGATGTGAGTTCAATAGATGAAACCACATTTGCATATACATATACAATCAAATGTGTGTGTATATATATCAGATCCCGAAGAAAGCGAATGGGATCTGAACAACCCAGAACATTGCGTCGAAGTGTTGGAAAACCGTTTTCCTTTCCATGAAATTTCCCAAGCTGGAGTGACAATCGACCAATTCAACAAAATTTCTCGCTTTTACGTGGACTCACTGAAAAGAAAGGTGCCAAAGGCACCACTGAGTCAACACTTTTTGAAAGATTTGGAAGACATCACAGCAAGTAAGAAAAATCGGATGAACTGGCTGACTTGCTGGGGAAAAGCAAGGAAGCAACAGTTCCTTCCTAAAAAGCCTTCGAAGTAGACCAGGGGCGCCGAGAAAAAATGCAACTCCTATGGGTTATAGATCTGAAATGAAGGGAATGTATTGAGGTCAAGCCTGACCAATGCAATGTTTCTGAAAGCCTGATACTTTTGGCGACATACACTCTTGTTTCTTCCGCTGAGCGCGATACTTGGGCTACTTTGTAGTTTATATAACGTGCACATGTAAGCATGCTGTGCCATGGTGTTTTCCTTCGAAGATTGTATAATTTTATATGCCATATGGTCGCTGTACCAATAGGATTTCAATCTGAGGAGATGATATGGGTATCAGCTGGTTTCCAACTATTCCAATAGGATTCTTTATAAATATGAACCTTTTCAACAAAGTATCTGCCATTTTCCCTGTTGTGCGCAATGCTTCGGCCACTTTTAGGCATATGTATCATTATAGATGAAACAGGCTGTGCCATGGTGATTCTTCTTCCCTGATGTGACTTTCCACTACCTGATGTGACTTCTCCGTATCGCCGCCGTGCCATGGGGATGATGTGACTTTTCCCGCCTGATGTGACTTAAGTACGGTGCTAGTACAATTATATTACTCATATTCTTTCCAGCGGAGTCCATGTTACTTTCCTAACAGCGTCGACTCTTTCGCTTCAGGCCCTTCCTGACGCTGTGAGCTTCGCTAGCGAGGTGCATTTCACGCAAGTGCGGGGCAGCATGCAACATGATGCAACCCAATATGATGGGTATATACTGGTAAATAATGGGTATAATATTACAATTGTGTGTAAATTTGCACTTCCCCGAGTTGACGATTCAACCCCCACAACGTTGAAAGATCCGGCCGAGGCTTAAAACATGCCACAGTTGTTGGTTGCTGTTTACAACCCTTGGCGCACCAAGTCTCCTGTTGCTTTTTGGCACGGCTCTAGTATGTTAATCCACTTGAGTAGTCCATGTGATCACGCAAGGAATGTTCCTATGGATTGTTGCTAATTACTTGTATCCAAAGATATCCAAAGATTCTGTTGTTTCATTGGACTTCTATCAAAATTGATGTCCCATATGACTGATGCCCAAACATTATATATTATATAATTAATATGGCGAACTTTAGCCACTGCTCTAGCGACTCTAGCTCCCAGTTGACCTCATGGGCATCATACCTTTGCTTCATATGATGATCCTCCTTGAAGTTGTTTGACAGTTGAGTTGATGATATCCCGGTTGATCGCTGATATTCTTTTGATTGTCAGACGCGGTCATATTCTAGCTATATGGGACTGGCTTGAAATGATATGACCGGTCTCTTCTGGGTCTTGAGTCAGAAATCCCATCTTTGTGGTCTCCGTAATCAGATTCCCAGAACGGATTAAATTTAAGACAAAAGTCGCAGGAACCTACAATATGTTGCTTGTTACTGTAAATCCACGGTTCCCTGTAGATATCAGATCAAGGCATCAAAAAAAAATCAGATCATGTTGATATTCCCATCTATTCCCCAAATATCCCAAATACAATATATATATATATATATTTTTTTTTCCACACAATCATTTTCAACATGATCTCCCAGATATCCTATTCCCTATAGATATCCTCTACTGTCGCCAGGTCTCAGGAGTGCAGCCCGATCGAATGCATTTCTGACGCAGAGCTCGAGCGTGGGAGCGCGCAATGGTTTTGTTGGATGGTTTATTTCATGGAAAATCCTACGAAAATGGATGATTTGGGGGTACTCCCATGCCGGGAACCTTCCTCTTAACATTGAAGAGATGATTTTTCAGTGATTTGTCTCAATGATTTCCTATGAACTTGTTGGTAAAATTGAACTTAGATGAAGGGGCCATGATAGCTTCTATTTCTAAGGGACCATGATAGTTTCTATTTCTATCCCTACCTTGGATGATGCCCAGAGACTGTAAAAACAGACTTGACTATATAGATTGTATCTTTAGGAAAGGAGGCTGGGAAACCAGTTCTTTTTCGGTTTTGACCCAATCGAAATAGCAACAACAAACGGCAGACCTCTTTAGCCTTGCCTCTCGTGCTCCACCGCAGTTGCCATAGGCCTTGCGGTGTCTTTTACATTGAAGAAGCTTTGGATCAGTGCAGATGATCTCAACAACAGTCCGAATGGTTCGAAAGGTCCACACATAGGAAAGAAAAAGGCCTTCCAAGCACTGAGGGCAGTAGCTATAGGTATGCTATAGGCCCTATAGGTTTGAGATGCTTGAAATCAAAATGGAGGAGCAGACGGAAACAAGTGGCAGCTACTCCTGTGTAGGCTCAGGATGAAGTTGCTTTTCGTGAGGACATCCTTTGCTCTCTTTCCATTCCGGAGATGCTGCTTGAACATAGCTCTGCAGCAAGTGAAGCAGTCAAACAGCTTGTGTTTTGTTCACATGGACATATGTATGCAATGTGATGCAATGTGCATGTATAATCATGTATACATCATTATAAATACATCTAACAATGTGTGTACATATACTTATATATAATTATACATATACATACGTATGTACATGTATATATGTATGGTACTTTTTGGGCAGCTCTTTGGGACACACTGTCGCTGCGAGCTCAGAAATGAATTCCGAACCAGAGACCATACATATATGGACATATATATATATATATATATCTACAACATTTATATGTGATATACATACATGATTTCCGAATTCGGACATATCTCATCCATGCACTTCTTTCCTGGACCATACATATATCAGACACTCAACAATAGATTTATAGGTGGTGAGAGAAGCTTCTTCAGTGAGGTAGCTTTGCCAAGAAACTTCTTGGCACGACAACGTCGTTGCATTCTGTAGCGATTAGCATAGCAGGCCAACTTGTGGTCATGGAATGTCATGGATGTGTTTCATTGTTTTTCCGCATGTCTAAGAGGTGTAATGAGTCGTTTAAAGCCGTATACCTTATTTTCAAAAGAGGCCAAGAAGGTCTCAAACAAAAATGAAAAGGTGTACGAAGCATCTATTCTTGTAATTACTTTACTTCAAGTGATCCCCACCATGACATTTATACGTTTTAATGCTGGCAAATCTTCTGGCATTCGATCTGGCATTCTATCTGGCACATCTTCTGGCATTCTATCTGGCATATCTTCTGGCATTCTATCTGACATTTTATCTGGCATTCTCTCTGGCATACCTTCTGGCATTATATCTGGCATATCCTCTGGCATTCTATCTGACATTTTATCTGGCATTCTCTCTGGCATACCTTCTGGCATTCTATCTGGCATATCTTCTGGCATTCTATCTGACATTTTGTCTGGCATTCTCTCTGGCATACCTTCTGGCATTCTATCTGGCATATCTTCTAACATTCTATCTGGCATAGCTTCTGGCATTCTATCTGGCATATCTCATGGCATTTTATCTGGCATATCTTCTGGCATTCTATCTGGCATATCTTCTGGCACACTTCTGCCAATCTATGTGGCATATCTTCTGGCATTCTATCTGGCATATCTTCTGACATTTTATCTGGCACATCTTCTAGTCTTCTGGCATTCTATCTGGCATATCTTCTGGCATTCTATCTGACATTTTATCTGGCATATCTTCTGGCATTCTATCTGGCATATCTTCTAACACTCTATCTGGCATATCTTCTGGCATTCTATCTGGCCGTTGAGGTCCAGCGATGCACACTGAGCTCGGAAGGTCCCAGGTTGAGGTCCAGCGGTGCGCACTGAGCTGGGAAGGTCCCAGGTTGAGGTCCAGCGGTGCACACTGAGCTGGGAAGTTGGCGAAGAGCTTGGCCAAGAGTTGGCAAGGCGGAAGTTGAGGTGGAAGTTGATGCAGACATGGTCGAGGAGAAACTGGAGGAGGAGGCGGAGGAGGAGGAGGAGGAGGCGGAGGAGGAGAGCTAGCCGAAGAGGAGAAGAACAACTGTGATAAAATCTAACAACCCTCACCTGGCAGGTGGGGGAAAACATGGTAATTTTCATGTGGTAAAGAAGGGTTACATGGTAATTTTCATGTGGTAAAGAAGGGTTACTGAGGAATTCCTGGATCCTATGAGGCTGGCTGTGGCGATCGCTGGCATTGATGTGCATCCCCAGTATGGTATATCATGTGCTATAAGGTACAATAGGTTTTTAAGAACATGTTTTGCACCATCAACATGTAATATGTATAACATCTAATAATGTACAACATCTGTTAATTTATAACATCTAAAAATGCATAATAGTCCGTATATTCAAAAACCCTCAATGGCTTGTGAAATTCGGCTTTGACCTCACGTGTCAGCCATTGCCGGGAGGACCGTCCAGCAGCAACGCAGCCACCAATCAACGGCCGGACAATGGGGATTTCTTGTGACCCACAATTCAGATCAAAGTTATCCCAAACATGGCGAATTTCTGGTGACCCCAATATAATATCCCAAAATTTGGAGGTGTTCTCTTATGACCCCAAGAGTAAGATATATATTTACGAGATGTACGAAGAGGCATATTCAAATACCAATACAATATCCAAAAACTCGAGGTCTTAACCCGAAAAAATCGGATGGTGAAGATGATCGTGGCGGGTTGCTGCGGGTGATCTTCTCCAAGCTTCAGTCGAACCGGGTACAAGCGGCTACAAGCGTTTGTGGCACAGCTGGTTGACAGAAGGGTTGGTTTTCAATGGGGACTTAATGGGGATTTAATCAATCAACATGGGATTCTGTTATATCTTATATATGGAAGATTAAGCTTGGGGATATCTCACCAACAGCTATGATTTGGGTCCGACAATGGTGAGTCTATCCTAGTTCATGGCTGTCAAAACGCCCTCCCAACGCTTGGAGGTTGGATTTGATCGACTGGTTGGAGGTTTCTCACTATATGATTGTAAATTGACATATTACTATACATAGTCACAATATAATACTATATATATACAGAATTATGATCAATCATGTACATAGATATATAATATAGAGTTATCTTTTCAACCATATCACTTAATATGAAAAGTATATATATATATATATTATTTTATCAACATTAATACTAATAGTATATAGTAAAATAGTAATATAATGTAATATATATATAGTTGTATATGATGCCATTGGTTATACTCCTCATTGACCTGGCTCGGCCTGGCACCACCGCGCGGCTTTGTTGGTGGCAACAGATGCCACGACCGGGGCCACATGGCGAAGAAAACGATGTGCTGATGGAACTGGTGGACTTATGGATAGTTGATACTAAGATTTTTATGGATTAAAGGATTAAACTTGATATATGCTTCAAACTTCTAGATTTATGATGATTTATGGATTTATAGATATCTAGACCATCCGTTTGCACCCTTCAAACATGGTGTTTTACCCTCATAATCTTGGTGCTCGTACCATTTTTAGGGTCTAGATAGTTCGTCAGTACTGGGATAGTTAGCACTGAGATAGTTAGAGTGAATAAGCTTGTGCATGGGATAGTTTATATGGAGCGATGGAAACATACGACGACTGACGGGATCGATGTTTGATAGATAGTCATAGATGTTTATAGATTCAGATTGTTATACATAGACATCTAAATGCAATATGTATTTTCTGGGTTCATTCGTATAAATCTGTCGTATGTCGGTCCTTAGGTGGCCAGGTGGCAATTTTGCTTGGAACCATCTAGATCCGTGACACAGGAAATGGAGAACACCAATCAAATCATCAGCAGGAAATGGTGTCCATATGCAGTTCTGATGGGCATGAAACCCTCTATGTTTGTTGTGTCTTAAAAGTGGCAGGCACGGACAATTTGTCTATGTGAGATGTAATACTTTGAGAGAAGTGGGGGTCCACAATCACTTCTGAAACACGAAGCCTAAAGAGGGGTCCCGTCCTAAGAAGTTCCTCTCTGCGCAACTCTTTAAGTTTTGGGGCACCAATATTTAGATCACCAGCCAATGTTTAGATATGTTTAGATCCACTGGATTCGGGCACCAGAAATGTTGGAACTCTGACAGCATCCACGAGTATGGTGGCAGGTGGCACAACGGATACTTGTGACAAAACATGTGGAATGAAGCGATCTCAAGCGATCTTAAATGTTCTTTGTGCAAAACGCCTGTTGAAGGGTTTATTACAACAAAGGCATTTGCCGGCAGAATCACCAATCGCCTGAAGGTCTAGTTTTCCACCAAAAAACACCACTCTTGGCTAGATTCTGGGCACTAAAGACAAAGGCATCTATGGACGTTTACAGAGCTCAGACCTTCAGACACAGTTGTCCTTATACTGGAACTTCTGCTGTGGAAACGGATGCTTTCCTGTTGCACAGCCAAGATTTCGACCCCGGAGAAGAGTGTGGGGCCCTGGGCGCTGGAACTTGCTGATCCTTTCAGGGGCTACCAAGCTCGCGGCTCATGGAGTCATTCAATAGATCAGATGTTCAAGTCATACATACATGGATAATTGTGGAAATATGGTGAAACAGTGTGAAATATATTCGTATCTTATGTACTCAGATTAGATTCGATTACTGTAGATTAGATTCGACTCATGAGAATAGATAAGGTTGGATTAGACTTACCACATCCGAAGTCTCTAGGATGAAGGTTTTTGAAAATATTTTTATGATTTTGATACGTTTCAGATATGATTTGTTGTTATGATTTGTTTAT